CAGCAGCCAAGTAAAGGGGTTAAAGTACGGGACTCATTTGGACGTGTTTTTGATAAGGCAATAGTTTCATACACATACAACACCAACATTATTGTTCTCCGTATTTTCTTCCGGGACCTGACTAGACGTGAAATTCCTCTTGCAGATGACAACTCATGACTATGCCAAAGAGAAAAATATCCGAGGTAATAAATGTTTGGAGGGATCGCTAGCGGTTTTCATGCACGTGCGGAGCCAGACATTGGCAATAATCGTAGCTCACAATTACAGTATTTTACTCTTTTAATCCTTTGACGATAATTTAGCCGAGACAGAGCGGCGAATTCGGTGATGCGCGTATATATCGTAAAATTGCGAAATTTTTACGTACTTTTATGCACATCTTTATGTATTCTAATATTTCACATTGTCTCTTTTGTAAAAATGATGAAGAGAATTGGTTTTTTTTTCTTTTGTTGTTGTTATTATTGTTGTTGATTTTGTTATCATTTTGTATAAAAATCTCACATAAAATCTAATATTAAGTTTCTCTTGGCTAAATATGTGTATTTTAATAATGAATTTTCTTGCTCGTTTCATGGATAAGAGAAAGTTTTTCAAGCTTTATAAAATTATGTTATTAATTAGAATATTTATAGCCTGTATTTAATTATAATAAATTTTCTATTTCATCGTGTAGGATAATATATCTATAATTTGTATGCATTAAACCATAGATATGATAATAATTTTAAAAGTTGTAATGTTTTTTTTTCATTCATTGGTTATATATTGCTAACTTGATTATTTTGCCTTAATTAAGAGGAATAAGAAATTTCATTTCATTATTTGAAAATTTATCTCAAATAATGTTTAAATTGCATTGAATACTCGTTTTGTATTAGCAGGCTAGTTTGCAAATTATTTAGCATATCGTTTGAGATCGGCATTATGCCAATCGTAAGGTATAACATTTTTTTCTCGGTGAGCGAGCAGCATACTTATAAAAAAAAAAAAAAAAAAAAAATATATATATATATATATATATATATATATTTTTGTATTTGCATTTGAAAATGTTGAAAGGAAGTTGTATTCTTAATTCTACTCTAAACAAATACAAAATCAAAATCCATCTATAGTTCAAAGTCCCTCAAATGTAGATTTTATTCTCCTTTAAATGTCATCTCACACGTTATTAATGAAATCGATGTGGTCATGTTGAGGAGCGTAACTTTAAATTGTTCGAAATATCTAAAGTGAAGTAAAAAGCAAAAAGTTATGCGGTAGAAATCGAGAGTTGAGAGTATTTATTATAGGCGATCATTTTACATTAACGATGCAACATTAATTTATTAAGCAGTATAAATTAAATTTATTATAATTAAAACCGCCGTAGCGTTTACATTATAATTCATAAATTTGCACGATTCGCGAACCTTAAAGCAGTACAGATTTAACCTCTTTGAGCAATCTATAGAGCTCGTTTGGCTCGTTTCCTTGGATCCCGAAAAAAAAAAAGTAAAAAAAATAAAAGGCGAAGCCTAAGAGCTCTTGCGGAGAAAAAGCCAAGTATTCATTCTCTGGCTATCTTTCTCTCTTTCTCTCCCTTTCTCTCTCTCTTTCGCTCTCTGACTACTTAATGGTAAAGGCACGGGACGGTGATGGTGGTGGTAGTGGCGGTGGTGGAGGAGAAGAGGAAGAAAAAAGAAGAAGAAGAAGAAGAAGAAGAAGAAGAAGAAGAAGAAGAAGAAACAGAGAATCGCAGCGGAAACGCGTATTACGCTCCTTGGAGCACGTTTTAGCTGACTCGTAGCAACGAGCACGAGTGTGTGCGCGTTGGCGCATTGAAAACCGCACGCACACGCAGACCCTATCGAGCACGTTATTGTAATCGCTGCCCGATTAATTGTACTATGGTTTTGCTCACTCAGTGCCGGCCCAAGCAGCTGCGTCGATCTCTCTCTTGCATATTCTCTTGATACAGACTAATCGCTTCGGAGCGGTGCCGAAGCTTCGAAAAATCGTAGACCTCAGATTTCTCATTTTCAATCTCGCTCTCGGATACAATTTGATAGGGGCGAGGAGAAGGAGAAAGATGCACTATTAGATGTAATGAGTATTGCTTTTATGTTTTTCCTTTTGCCTCTGTCATTGTCAAATTGTTATTACGATTAATCTTACTTTGTTTCAATCTCCCTCTAAGCAGCTTCAATTTTTCAATCGTTCTTACGGGCTTTTTGTTACCATTACACGCACGTTTCACGAATGAATAATTTTTTCACCGAAAATGTTTAAATTAACAACTACTTTGGGAAATTAAAAAAGTCTCGATAAATTTTTTCGTGCGATATTCGAATAAGATTGTCTTTGTTTATATAAATGAACTTGACTACGACTGTCATTTCATTGGAACGTAAAAAAAATCAGATGATAACGGATAAATATAAGTTTAACAGTTTACATGTGAATTTGGATTAAAACGAAGTGTAAGAAACTAGATAAAAATAAAGACAGATCCTTCATTGATCACCGTCGATAATCTTTCTCGACAAATATCCTTCGGTTTTCATACGGAATATTGTGCTTTTTCAATTTCAAACGTCCATTATTATAAAATAATTTATAAAGATGTGGAAATTAAATTATTGCCAATAGTGCTAATTGAAATGTTAACGATAACATTAAACAGATCACCTTGCGTCAAGTCTACTTCGAAATTCACACATGTAATTCGATTAGAGAGAGAGAGAGAGAGAGAGAGAGAGAGAGAGAGAGAGAGTGAGAAGAAAAAAGCTATCCGGTGGAAAAAAAATTCGGTCACGATTAATTAAAGCTATGCTTAATTTTCAGTTTAAGCAAACTCTTGGCCACAATTGCCAGTAATATGATCATTCAATGGAATGGCCTCGATTGAATTTTCTGCCTAAGATTTGAAATTCAGTTTGCTCAGGCGTCAGTACTACCAGTAGAAGCGACTAGACATACCACACATCCGTCAGATACTCATGTCCAAGTCGATCAATCGTGCTCGTAGTAATTGTCTTGCAGCTGTCTAGTCGCTCGATGACTCCCCGGAGTTCGCTTATGTACGAGTTTGCCTCTGCAAGTTTGCTCATTCACGCACGCACACGCAGTCCTTATCTGCTCGAGTATTCTTATCAAAGCTCAGGGCTGGAGAATCGCTAGTCTCCGAGAGCTGAAGGGGGATAAGCGACGATCCCCACGTACGACGAAGAGAGCGAAAGAGATGAGCAAAGAGAGCTGAAAAATGAAATCCGGAGGGTTGCTCACAATCGCACCCCGCCGAGCTAAATGTTTCGCGTATTACAAAGTGCACTTATGCTCATAGATAGCCGGTGGGTTAAGTGCGGCGTTTTTTTTTTTTTTAAAGGGTGTTCGTGTATTAAGGGGTTGTTGGAAGAATGAAACTTTGTTAAAGGGAGTGCGATCGCTCTTCTGCGCTATTGATTTTCAAGCCTCGTTTTTCTTCAGCGGCGTGACTATACGGATATAGTGTTATGTGGGCTACATAAGAGAGCGAAAATGTTATAGTGTTTTCCTTGTCTCTTTCATGTAATCTCCTTCAAATTGTCGGTCGAAGCATAAAGAGAGCTTTGTACTTGAGAAGAGGTGCTTTTCTGCTCTTCAATGATCATTTGTAATTTGATGGGATGAAGTTAATTTGGTTGCGACGATGATGGCACTATTGTATAAACTGTTTAACATGATATTATCAATAATATTACTAATAAGAGAATGCGAGTCTCAAACGTTTTTTCGGTTATAAATAAATTGTCTCGTTAAAATCCTGCGATAAGCCATTTACGTCAAAATATAATTTCCAAACGACTATTTGCTTATTCCAATCATTGCGACATATACATATATATATGTAAGTATTTAATAATATTTTTACAACCGACGAAATACCAAATTATTCAAGTTATATTTGTTAAAAAGAAATTGATATGTATTATTATATTGTAGGTTAAACATTTTGGATAAATCTGAATATACGAATAATGGGCTGTTTAAATGCATTATAATTGAAAGTTTTTAAATATTTTATAATATTTCAATTATATGTTACATTTTTGGGAGATACTGATGCATTATGCATAAAATGATAAAAGTATCTCATTTCGAAATGTAAGAGATTATAGATGCTTTTCTTAAACTATATTTACGACGAAACGTGATTGAAATTTTGTTTGTTTCTTGCTCTTGCAATTGCAACATCATTATCTAAAGGGAAATAAAATTCAGTTGAAGTCCGGTAGTCTTCCACTGTTATTAACATGAAATTAATTAATCACAAGGCTTTACTGTCTTGTAATTTTTCTATAATTTTAATCTGATAAATAAATCTGTAGCATGACATGCTATTAATTTGTGGGATTCTAATTATTAGTTTCAATAACAAGACGTTGTTTCCAGTTATCATTTCGCAATAATTATTTTGTTTGTACTCTTCTTTTTATTTAATTAATACGCGATAAGCAATTTGGCATATTACAGCAAAAAGTACTAACATACTATGGCATGTTTCTTTTTATTATTTTTTTACTTATTTTGTTCTAATGTTATATATATATATATATCGGTCACATTAAAAATGATAAACAATGATGTGAAATGATATGCAATGAATTTTTATTCGAAAGCTTTATTTATATTCGAAAAATAGCATTATTACACCATTCGAATTGTATTACCCATACTCATTTATCATAGGCATGTATTTTAAACGAACGTGAAATGTTAATTTAGTTACTTTGAAATATGGACGTACGCAAGTGCGATATCAATCTTTCATGATTTATTATCATTTTACGAATTATTATTATTTTTTTTTATGCATTCCTGTTTGTTAAATGATGTATCTGCATTTATTTTTACGTTTATTTTATTCACGCGTCTATTTCAATTTGGTTTGGGTGTAATTGGTCGTATCATATTTCAAAAAACAGATCTCGAGCAGATGATATTTTATTTCTAATAAGTCTTTTAATTTGCAGGATTCAGGGGCTGGTGGACCGACAGATGACGATGAAGCGTCTCGAACTTGTGTCAAAAGGTTGGCTTAACATTAATGTTTTTATTCTAAATTTAATTTAAAAATTATGAGATAAATGTTTTGAATTGTTGTTTTGAATTGTAACAAGTATATTAATATATACAATTCCATTTAGTCTCGAAAATATTTAGAATCAATTTTTAATATATTACAGTCGACATTTTATTAGATTCAAATTAATTTTTTAGACATTTAGACGTTGAGGTTCGTCTGTCGCCAAATTTTATTATTGTGTAGTATACTACAGCATAGTATTATTCATAATAAATGTAATTATCGATGGTTTCTATCCAATAAAGGACATTCCTTTATTAATATTCAATTTACAATGATAATTCGGGCTTAACAACTCTTTTGCAACAATACATAGCTTTGCAATAACATTATAATTAACGATAATCTAGGTCAAAGTATAAATATACAATAAAACTCACTAAATTAAAATAAATGACTTTTCATATTATACTATTTTCATTTCAAATTGCTAAGGACTTAGATTGTCATTTAAAATTCAATATTCACTAATTTTACTAATAATTCACCAATTTATAGAGTAATGGTTATTTTTACTATTACTTTACAAACGGCAACATCCATGCACGTGTCATCCAGGAACGTGCCTGAATGTTAATATTTTGAAAAAGTCTACTTAAGATTATTATTATAATAAGATAATTATTACTTTGTACATGTATAATTTTCAAAAGTATATTTCTACGTATGTGCCGGTATAATTGTATGGAAATAATTGTTCAACATAAATATTAAAAATTAATTAGATCGAGTGATGTTACTATAAATTTTTTTTCTCTCACAAATGACTGTGTTATAATTTATTTAGAGATAAAATAGAGAAAACTTTGAATATTTTGTGTTTCTCGACGACTCAGATCTTATTTCAACGGCGCATAACGTACAAATCTTTATTATTATCATATTATAACTCAAATGTTTACTATAAATTTTCGCGTAATTTTTAGAAAGTAAATTAACGCAGGAAGCTAGATAATTCTTATGTATAATTATTATATAGGTATATTAATGTTTGAATTTATTATAAAAAATAATTCTTTTAAATAATTACGAAGAAGCAAATAGAATTCACTTAAGATTTATAGATTTTGATAAGACACTTTTTAATTAAACTTAAATAACGCTTCAATCATTATTCAATGAATTTAATTTATTTAATATTTACTTACATATGTATACTCACATAAAATGTACAATAATAAAGTTTTATTTTCAATGATATGAATTTGTTTGATAAGGTTTGTATTATTATCGAATACATTAAATCTTATTACACTGACATTGCGTTTAATTAGAGAAACTACGGTGGGTTTCTTTTACTAATTCAGTAATGTTATTATAATAAAAGAGATAAAGAATAATTTATTGTACAAAAATATGCATTTTTAGTATTTTTATGCGAAAATCCGTGTCATTTTATCTTAAAAATCTAAACAAAGAATTTTGAGATGAATAGTAGTTGAAATTAAATTATTTTCTACACGATATAATTATATAGATAAACATTTCAAACGTGCTGTTTTCATCGGTTGGCGAATCTACGATAAATTATATTATCGTGCTTAAGCAACGAAATTGAATTATCTTCGACGCATATGCTACTTGAAAGTCAGCTTTGCCTACATTGTATTTAAAATACCATTTCAATACACTTTCTTTTGCAGTTTTGATTGCAAATAATTAAATGGACTAAATTTTTATGTCCACGAAATGAAACATTCGTAGCATTAACGTGCGCAAGTAATTCTGGCGCGTTGTTGGTCCAATATTAAAAAAACATTCTTCCATTCGATCCTAATGAAGGAAAATCACAAGTGCACCATGACACACAACTTGCCAATTCCATAAACTTCACTATACAAGTCCTAGATAAGAAATAATCACATTTCGTATAATTAGTTTAACAATATCATCCTGGCCTCCGCTTTGTGTCGCTGAACGATATAAAAGACCATTGACGTTAAAAGACAATCGACTTCCTCGTTCGTTTGATTAAATCCTCTCGTAATAATAATACAATTAAAGTAATGCCCCGTCATTGTCAAAGAAGAAAGTCTATTTCGCGAGAGTGATAACCCAGTACTGCGCGTTTCCGTGAGAGCCACCGCTAATGTAAGTAGTCGCGTTAATTAGTCGGCTTGACTTGTCGCTCGGTGCAGCGTCATTTGCACCGAGAGCACAGTTATTGTGAAAGCTTCAAGAGTTTAATATTTTTATCTTAATCTGAAACTTGAGATTTTTCGGGGGAGCTGAAAGGCGCATTGATACGATTAAATTCCCTGTTCTGGTTATGGTACGCATGGTTATTTTGTCAAAATTATTATGGAATGGCGTTGGAAATAAAATTTCCGATCGGCAAAGCTTACGTATTCGAAAAATAATGAATTGAAACGATTTCTTTTTCTTTTTCTTTTCTTTTTTTCTTTTTCTTTTTCTTTTCGTTATAAGAGATAAAATATATTCAACATTTATTAGTAGGATTATTTCGTTATTATATAGGTAGTTATTGTGCACACGAATTTGAAAATTGAAAAGTCGGGGCTGCATGTTTGTTGCGTATATAAATTTGGGATATGAAAATACCAATTGCTGACAATGGTATTGGATAATAAAATAGATGAAAAACTTGCACAATTATGTGAATCGTATAAGAGAAGAAATTCCTTAGACCTCGTTATTTGCGATTGAAGAATAATTCAATTCTGGTAGATCGAGATGGGTGAATGTTTGTCGACATGACAATGTAGAATTGAAAATTATCATTGAGCATCGTAATGAAAAATTCAGTGTATAAAAGACTTTCAAATGCATAAAGATAAGGATGTAATAATATTATTAAGTTGGACTCGAAAGTAATATTGTACAATTTAAGATGCTGGGCAGATTTAGAACGTGGAACAGAGAAAATTTCTATATTTTTAATTATACAGTAATCACTATTTTAGTTTTCAACCACTACTATTTAGAATTATAATAATTTATCCGAGATCGTTATATCTGAGATTGATTTATATAAACTTTTAATTATATGGCATTGAGAGAATCGACCATATTACTTTATATTAAAAAAAGTCTAGAATTACGTATGTTATTAATAATTTGAAAGCTTTCGTAAATTATTAAAAATCAAAACATAATTGTTGTTTATAATAAGTATCGTTTTATTAATAAATCAAAGGATGTTTGAACACACACGCGCGCGCGCGCGCGCACACACACACACACACACACACACACACACATATATATATATATATAATTTGTATATGCTATACGATCTTGTGAAAAAGATTTATTTGTATGTAGAAATGATTATCGATAGCCATATTGCTAATCTTTATCTTCGATCGATAAATATGACGACATTACAAACGATTTCAAATTTATAATAATCAATAATAATATATCCAATAGCGTATATGTTTGCTTACATTAAATATAAAAAACCCATTAATTTTAATATTAGTATGCGAATAAAAATTAATTTTATTATTATGGTACTATTAAATATAAGATATAATTTACTGTACTATAAATATTAAAATTATTTTGAAATACTTTATCATGTTATTTTATGTTTTTTTCGTTTTATGATCAGCAGTAATTATTTGACCGAATAATTGAAAAAGCAATTGAATCTAGTTAGTTCAATTTAAATAATTATCGATTGTAATAAGTCTAATATGATATAATTTATGATAGTTATATATAAGTATGCATATAGTATTAAATTAAATAATAGTTGATGTCAAGTTCTTGGTAAAACAATCCATTACATAGCTACGACCTAATTTTTAGTTAAAATTCATTACAATTATTAATTCTAGTAATTTCATTAATGTTGGGAGTATGGAACTGTATTTCTTTAAAGTTTGATTATTTCTAACATCGTAATTGATATAGGTAGCTTTAATTCTAAAAAGTCGCTATTTCCTCAAACGACAGTTAAACATTACACGCAATAAATGTTGCCTGAAATGTGCTACGATTGATAGCGATTGATTAGCATAAATTATTACAAAACAGTAGCTGTTTTCCCATTTAAAAGTCAAGTTACCATTACAGTTAGTGTATAGATCATAGCGCGTTCCGTAATTTTACGATCTTCATGTTCTTCTGAAAAAAAGTATTTCATTTTTGATAAATGGTCTGCATGCTGGGGATAATATCTTGGAACGGTGTGAAAGTACCAAACAGCATTAAAAACTCCTCTTAATTAATTTTAACGACAGGGCTTTTCAGTGAAATCGATGAGAGAAACAATGGTAGTAATGGTAAATGATCGGACAAACAGGAAGCGTCTTCGCTTTTAATATTTTTTATTTTCAACATTATACCAGTTCATCTTTCGCTTATTGCCTTCATTGGAGTAACTTTCTAAAATTCTGCCACGATCGTAATTTCGGCTTGTAATTTTACGCTAAGGCAATTACGAATTCCGAGGATTAAGAAGCGACTAAGAATATACGACAACGTTGAGCGGAAATGCAAGCGAATGGATCATAGTAGTTAGACGCGAGTGCCTTTTGAAAAATTGGGGAGCGTTTTTATTTAATAGTATTTTTCACGATTTTCATTGTCGAACGTTTGGAAATTAGTTCGATCCTTACGGCCAGTAGCAAAAACTATTTATCAATTGGTTTTCCGTTATGACGAAATTATTTCCTGGAATCATTGGCAAAAACTTCGACTGATGAAATAGGCATTGGCTATTATAACTTTGGTTTTAAAATGGCTGCGAGTTTTCCAAATTTTCGTCTTTTTCACAATTACTCGTCGAATGTCAAGTAGTTTCGATGTCTAGTAAAACAAGCATATAATGGTAAAAAAAAAAAAAAAATTTATCGTTAGTTTAGGAATCGATAGGTTCACGGTGTAACGCCTTGTTGATCAATCCGAATGGAAGTACTTTTTCAGAATAGGGAAACTCGACTCGAGAGCTAGCATACAATAATAATAACTTATTC